GAATAAAATGACAATCTGATAATTTTCTAATCGCGGTTTATAAATTTTAATTACAATATTATATTTAATGTAAATGAATAAAAATTACATTATTTGAAATACTTCATAATCTATAAGATCAAAAGGTTTTACCCTTCTTCCAGAGCTCAACAAATCATATTCGAAGGAGTATTTCCCACAGTAATGGGAAGCATTAATAAAATCGGGACCTTTAATAAATAAATCAAACTTTCCAAAAATCGGACCATAATCTTCATACCATCTCGCACTCCGTTCTTGATTATTATATTTTCTTAAGACTCCATTAATAGTTTGAATATCATCAGAATTAAATTTAAATAAAAAGCTATTTGAATTTGAGTAATTTTTGTTAAATGAATTCCATTCAAACGGATTATCCACCGATAATCCTTTACCGCCATCTTTTATGCGAATGACAACCATTGGACCTTCATTATCACACAGGCGATGAACATCAGTATTTTTACAATTGCCTCGTAATAGCAACTTCAATTTAATTGATGAATATCATCTTGCTTTTTTATCCAGTCAATTATCTTAGAGACTTGATTCTGCGAAAGGATTGTGCGAACTGGGTGTAAAGTAGCCTTTTGTTCTTCACTTACCGGTACTAGATAATGATGTAATAAATCTTTATACAATATTCTCAGCATATGGCAAAATCTTATTGTAAAAATCAACTGCGTTGATGTGGAAGTAACGAATCAAAGGTAAACAATTTTTAAGCGTACATGTATAAAGCAATAGATACGTGTTCTATCATGAAAACCAATGAATTTAATGATTTAAAACTACATGAGGGATTGTATCTTTCGAGAATTCTTTTCATGTACATGTACCTGAAACATGTATGTAGCCACAGCTGTGTTTTACCATGTAAACCAATGAATTTATTGATTTAAAACTCCATGAGGGATCGGATCAACAAATACATACACTTTCGATGAATTCTTTCTTCCAAAATGAAGAATTGAAAGAGATAGCTTTAAGAATAAAATCAATAGTCCAAGCCATAAGATTTATCACAAGAGGAAAACATCATTACAATCTATTTATACAGATAAATTACTTGTAGGCATTGACATAATATTTGAAGAGTTATAAATCAAAACAGATAGTATTTCAAAAATTCTTTTAATCAATATCAACATTTTGAAGCAAACCAAAAAATAATTGTGAAATATTGATTGAAATTTGAAATTGACTGAAAACAGTGATACTCAAATATAATCGTCTTTGGTTTCTGCAATCAATGTGTATAGGAACTCAAAAAGATATAAAAAAAGAGCATTAAAAATCAGCAGAAGATGGAGATGCAGCAGGGCAATATTATCTTGGTTTGTGTTATCAAAATGGTATCGGAACTCAAAAAGATGAGAAAATGCATTTGAGTGGTACTTGAAATCAGCAGAAGGTGGAGATGCTGCAGGACAATATAATCTTGGTGTGTGTTATCAAATGGATTCGGAACTCAAAAAGATGAGAAAAAATCATTTGAATGGTACTTGAAATCAGCAGAGGGTGGCGATGCTACAGGACAATATAATCTCAGTTGGTTTTATCGAAATGGTTTTGGGATTCAAAAAGATGAGAAAAAAGCATTCGAGTATTATTTGTGTTCAGCAGAGGGTGGAGATGCATATGATAATATTTGTTATTGTTATCAATATGGTATAGGTACACAGCGAAATGAAAAACGAGCGTTTAAATTGTTTTTGAGCTTATCAAGTGATGAAAGTAATGAAGTATTCGAACTTGGTAAATGTTATTATTATAGCGAGGGAATTGATAGAGATTTGCAGAAAGCATTTTCATATTTTCAGAAATCAGCAGAATTAGCTGATTTTGATACTTTATATGCATAGCATTTTCTTGGGTTAATGTAATTTTCAAGGGAAGGATACAACTAGAAATGAGACAAAAGCATTTGAATGGTATTTAAGAGCCGCCGAATCTGGATTTAAATTTTCTCAATTCAAAGTTGCTGAATGCTATCAATATGGGTTCGGAATTCCAATTGATTTTGACATGGCATTAAAATGGTATAAAAAAGCACATGAAAATGGTCATGATCGAGTAGGAGAGCTGGTTGAATCTTTCAAATTCGAAAAAATATATTCTTATTTTTAATTATTTTCATATTTTCATTTTAATCTTGATATTTAGTGGTTTCAAGTATTGTTTTCATAGTATTTTTATTTTATAAGGTTTCTGTAGAGAATGTAAGAAATAGAAATATTCAAAAATTTTAATGAATATATGTGGTTCATTTTTTATCTGCATAACCCGTCTGCGATGACACAAAAATAACGATAATGATAAACTCCTCACCATAACGATAATGCTTCAGACTATTCTAAGTGTAATAAAAATTATTTATGTCATTACACACAGCAAATATAATATTGATTCCAAATACAAAATTGACTTGGAGCGAAAATCATCTTGCACTTTCACCCTGAAAATGACTTAAATTGATGGTATTGGATACTTTCATTTGCCGGTCCAGCTAATTTAAATAAGCTTAATTGAGAAATTTTCATGGTACTAATCGGAGATACTAAATAGAAAGCCATGATTACTGGACTAAATCGGATGAAATACCACCATTCAATTCCTTTTGACTAGAGGGATCGAGTAGGAAGCATTGTCTCAAATTTGGCAATAATGAAATATTGTTACGCTACTTCCTAAAGATGTTGGATCTATTGGAAGTAGAACGTAACATAATGGTGGGAGGAACTTGGACTGAATGATTTACAAGAAGAGGATTTCTCTAGTTGTTCTAAGGTCTCCTGTGATAGTTTTTACGAAAACTATTATTAGACATAAAAGAGGGCGTGATAAAAGGTATTTGGAAGGAGTATTCGTGACAAAACTAACAAGGTTCACGGATTCCACAGGAATACGGGTAGTTTCTGATCACTACCAACACAAAACAAACCGTTGGACTTATTGACGCGGCCAGCAAAATAATCAAAAGAAAACACACATAATATTTTTAATGCAAAAGAAGCAAAGCCATCAATTTTGTTAAGTACAAAAGATGTCAAAGCTACAATTTCGCTATGGCACGAAAGAAATGAGAGCCGAAACACAGTTAGGTGAGTTTCAAAGTAAATTTAATATTTAATTTTATTCAAATCGCCCATTGCTTAATTCTCTAACCTTCAGACAACTACTCTTTAAATATAATTTTTAGAACCACATCAATTTGATATGCAGTTTCACGGGTCTGAAGTACAGACTATGAATGACTTAGGAATTCTCACAAAAAGAGGCTTGGTTATACTTCGAGACAAAGAATTAATTATAATAAAAGGTGAATGTTGATATAAATGTTTTTATGATTAATGAAATAACGTTTGATGTGAATGTTTAATACAGTAATTCACATTTCTTTGAGTCATAAACTAATAATTTTGGTTCTAACATTATTAGGGACGGCAGTGCTGAAGTTGATATCACAAGGTGAGCGTTTTCGTATAGGATTTTCAAAGTGATATTTTTATGAATGCTATGAAGTGAGATTTTGTATAGGAATTTGTACGGGATCTGCTTGGAGCGGGTCTACCCCAACTTCCCAACACCCAACTTCCCGAAATTCCAACATCCCGACAACACAACATCCCGATAGTCCAACATTCCGACAACCCAACTTCCCGACAATCCAACTTCCCGAAATCCAACATCCCGACTAGTCCATTATAGGAATCGGCAACTAGCATTTTTTAACATTTAAACATCAACGTGATAAATAATTCTTGATAATTGCGCACCTTTATTTTTAATTCGTTAATAACTAACTGATTTAACATAAAAGGGAATTGAACGGAAATTTTAATAAAAAGTTAAGGAAACTGAACATAAACCTTATATAAAAGAATAAAAGCAACACATTTCATTACAAAGAAAGATTGTGCGCAATTTCATGAAAAAAATCTAATACTGGACAATTTGCTCGATCATTAATAATATTTATAATTCTTCCATTATATTCTTTTTTTGCTTTAGATGTTGTTCATCACAAATAATATTTTCAATTTGAAGATTGACTCGTGGTTGTTCTTTTTAGAATTCTTGAATAATAGAATAAACTCCTAGATGTGTTTGTCCAATTAAAGTTTCCCAACAACGATGCTAAGCCTCTATAATATTATGTGTTCGAGGAACTCCTAATTTCATTGAGTCATATACAGGTCAAAATTTTGGTGGAAAGAGTGCGAATTGCATTCCCATTTCATGATTGTCTACAAATTTTTCCATAAATATAGTTATCCTCAACTCATTGCACTATTTCTTTTGTTTCCAAAGGCATGTTTGATTTCAAAACATCAAATGCAGCAGGAATTTCATCTTCTGGTAAAATGCCAAAGCATATTAGTTGTGATCGCTAAAATTTTTTCACCAAGGTTAAAATTGTTAATACAATTATATACTGTATTTGCTAATAAAATGCCTCGTGTAGAGGGATCAGATCCAGCAAGATACAGTTCATTTTCCATTCAGCATTAATTCAATATAAAGTTACTAACATAAATGCTTGGGCTATTCAAATATCAGTTGTAAGTGCAACTTTATTGTGATGGTTGTTGAAATATAAATGAAGAGTTTCACATTTTCTTTGGTAGATTTGTTCTACTTGCATAGAAATGGTTTGTCAGACATGGCAACTTATATCATGGATCTAATGCTTTTACAAATTGTTGAAAGTTTTCATCTTTGAGAATCAAAAAAGGTTGTTAATTGCAGATAATCCACTGATGAAGCAAGGCATTAAAATATGAAACTTTTTTTTGTCCTTTTTTTCCGCAAGGTTCAATTACTTTGAAAGGAAGTAAGATTTGTTGTTCAATTTGTGACCATTCTTTTTTGTGTTTTTTTAAAAAAATGGCCTTTGATTGCGCTAATGCCCGTTTTGCCACCATAAATTTTTTTACATAAATTACAAGTAATAGATGTTTTTCCATAATTCCATGTTAAATATTGCCAAATCGGATGACATGCTCGACTTTTCTTGGAAGGTCATAATAAAGAACCATCCGGTATAGTTGAGTTGTCAGACGTAGTTGAGATACTAATTGTCTAGTATTATTTATTATAGTAGATTGAGGGCCGGCTTTAGATGTGCTTGCTAGAGCATTATCATCTTCATTATAATCAGAAAAAGTATAATTCAATGATTCCAAATCATTTAAAATTAAACTTTCATAAGTATTGTAAGTGTCTGTATCGTGTTTTTATAAATATTGGAATAATTATACAAACTCGTTAATAATTCAGGTTCTATTAAAAAGCTTTTTTAAATTAACTTATAAACCTAAAAGTCCGAAAACTTCAAACCGATTGATAAAAGTTCGGAACCGAACCGGATATAAACCGGTTTCTTTTGAACTCTTTAACGTCCCTATATACATTCCTTTATTATTTTCTTGTTAAAACACATATTCATCTGACCTAATTCTCTTATTTCTCTTTCATATTCATTACCTCTGTTCTTTATTTCATTGTTAGTTTGTTCTTTTTCCTTTAGTATCTCACAGTTTTTCCACTGTCAATAGATTTAGGTATAGGATCTTAGTTATTTGTTCTTTTGCAATTTAGTACCTTGACAATTTTCTCTTGATGAACTTTTTTCTGTTTACTCACACACCTATTTGGTGATTGGAGTGCGCCAGTAACATTAGCATACGTTGATTTATCTTCGGATTAATCATGTATAACCGATTTTTTGTTTAGAAAAAATCACGATCGGTTATAAAATCCAATGCAATCGGCCACTTTATGATGACATTAAGCATAGTAATACTTGACAATAAATCAACTCATCGTAAGCGAAATAGACAATAAAAATATTAATAAAAGCAGCATATTAACGAAAATACTACCATTCGATTCACCTAGTCAAGGCGAATCAATGGTGGTATTTTCACTTGAATCAAATAAATCACTGCAATATCTCGACGTGCAGTGGCCCGATTCATTGTATTAACCGGCATATAAAAGACATAGATAACAGCGTTCTTTGCATTCAAAAAATTTTACCTTTTAATATTGCAGAACAAATTTCGCTTGAACTTATATAATTGTTATTAACTCTAACCTCTGAGTTATCAGCCCTTTTATATATCAACAAAAATGTCTGGTCCCATCCTTTCGATAAAAGATAGGGGCGACTGTACCGATGTGTCAGGATAAAGCATGATTAAATGATAACGATAACGAATATAGCGTTTCAAATAAAGATTCTATAACGAGAAGAGATGTATTATCGAATTATATTATACACTGCACTTGCTATTGAATTGTAATAATTTAATTCTTTATATACATATTATAAATTTAAGTATTTTGAAAGAATTATTCCTTTTTTATCAAATTCTTATATTTTTCATTATTTTTCATAATAATGCTATAACTGTTGTTACATGCAGTCAATTCTAATAAATGGAGACTAAATCAATGATTTAATTGTAGTTATGATTGTATAATGTACCGTAAAACGCGAAATAACGAACATGGACGTTTTTCGAAAATTACATCCTCTAAAAAAATAGCATACATACGCAGTCTCGAAACAACGTCCATGGGCGTCCCGAAATAATGTGCACTCATTGGTAAATTTGATAAATTGCATTCTTTTAATATAAATTCGATCTTACTTGAACCCGATTCCGATCGATTTTGTAATATAGCATGATGGTTAGATGTAGCTTCTGTATATGTATGCAATTACCTTAAGTTTGAACGCGAGATAATATAACTCGTTTTGTGCTCACATTCACTTGTAAATGAAGCAAAAAACTTTGCACGCGAAACAAACAAAAAATAACGATCATATTTTTTATTACGAATGTTCGTCGTGTAATACAAGGAAAAGGAGACTTAACGAAAATGTAAGAAACAACAGGGAAAAAAATAAAAAAAAACCATAAAACCAAGAAACATAAGCGTCATCTAAAAAATCAGGTTTAGCAGAAAATCGACCTTTAGTTTCGAAAGAACGCACATGTGCTCCTCGAAATAACGCGCAGGTGTTATTTCGCGGTTTTACGGTATAGATTTTTTAAAATCTCATTCAACATCGTACTTTGTACAGTCGCCACAAAAGTAACGCCCGATGTTTTAAAAAATAAATTTCGGATGTATTTTATTTCTGTCTTATGTATATAAAAATATTTTTACCACTAGCTATTACATTATTAGCTCTCTAATATCAATTTATAATATTGTTCCCCCAATGACTTGCAGACATTTCTAAGTTTGAACACAATATTCATTGATTTCTCTATTTGATTCTATTCATGGCTTCTTATTCTAATGTAAATCAAATTTTATTTTTTTGAAGCATCATGTTTTCTCAACTCAATGAACAAATTATATTATGAAAAGGGACCAAATTACCTTAAAGAAGCTTTTGCACGAAATTTTTTTTTACCAATGTTGTGAAATGGCTCAGGATGTCTTTTTTAGCTTCTTGTATAAGTGCAGTTTTTTTCTTGGTTGTTAAAAGCCTATGGTCTTCCAGACAGTGGTAAATTTTTGTTTTTCCTGTTTCTTTTGTACTTGGCAAGAGATCATTATACTCTTAATGGGTTACATCATAGTTTTCTTGCAACTTGCTTGACACTCAAACTTCAATAAAAATCATTATTTCTTTCCTTGTCAAAGATGTACGATAGGTATCATAAATACACCTAAAAAATTTCGCCTAGTGTATGTTTAATAAGTGAAAGAAGTAAAAGAAGAAAATAATAGGATCAACAATAACATAAAGTGGGAAAACGCGACGCATGTATTTTCCCATGTTGTTACACGTGCAAATAGGGCGTTACTTTTTGTGGCGATATCAATGAGAACCGATATTTTTAAATAAACTCTAACGCTAATAAGTAAAACAAGAAACTGTATATGTGTATATACATGTACATGTATATGTGTACGTCGTCGTCGGAATCATATTTATCCATAGCGAAACTAAAATATCAAACTAACGCCACCAACTTGTGCTTTCATTTGCTATCGTTTCAAGAAAAAGGGAAAATCTTGTAAAGAGCAATTTAACCATGGCTTGTACATGTAATAGGACGGGGTTTATTATTATTGTGCTCCTTTGCTTCTTTATCTATTTCATGCGTAATAGAAATACCGATATTAATTCTAATAATACAAAAATATCCGAAATTAATGACGAAAAGCCATTGAATAATGAAACCGAAAAAACAAATACGCTCACGACATCTTCGTCTTCACCTATTCCATCATCAAATGATCATATTATTGTTTCAAGATTGAACGAAGTGGAAGAAATCGTGCTTTTCGAGAATAATAGCGTAGCAAAAAATGAGAACAACAGTGTAGCAAAAAATAACAATGTAACAAAAAACAAAAAAAAGAAAATAACTGAAGCTGAAGAGAATCCACAGCGAGCCGAAATTAGTATGAATAATGACAATGCGTCAAAAAAGAAATCCCGAGCAAATTTCGATGACATTATAAATGACCAAACAGATATAGCCTTAGCATCCACTACAGCAATAGATGTGTATTTAAATATAAATGAAAATAATTTAGCAGTATCTTCCACATTTAATACGGCAAGAGCCACAGCTGAAAATCATATCATGAATCAGAAACAAATTGACATTTATCAAAGTGGAGAAGGAATACTTAAAGATGAACAAAAAGCATTCGAGTGGTACTTGAAAGCAGCAGAGGCAGGACACCTTAACGCACAATATAATCTTGCGCTCTGTTACAAAAACGGAAAAGGAACTATCAAAAATGAACAAAAAACATTCGAGTGGTACTTGAAAGCAGCAAAGTCAGGACATCTTAATGCACAATATAATCTTGCTCTCTGTTATCAAAATGGAGTTGGGACAATTAAAAATGAACAAAAAGCTTTCGAGTGGTACTTTAAAGCAGCAGAATCAGGACATCTTAACGCACAATATAATCTTGCTCTCTGTTACAAAAATGGAGAAGGGATTATCAAAGATGAGCAAAAAGCATTCGAATGGTACTTGAAAGCAGCAGAGGCAGGGCACCTTAACGCACAATATAATCTTGCTCTCTGTTATGAAAATGGAGAAGGAATTATCAAGGATAAACAAGAAGCATTCAAGTGGTACTTGAAAGCAGCAGAGTCAGGACATCTTGATGCTCAATACCATCTTGCTCTCTGTTACAAAAATGGAGAAGGAATTGTCAAAGATGAACAAAAAGCATTCGAATGGTACTCGAAAGCAGCAGAGTCAGGACAACTTAACGCACAATATAATCTTGCTCTCTGTTACAAAAATGGAGAAGGAACTAACAAAGATGAACAAAAAGCATTCGAGTGGTACTTGAAAGCAGCAGAGTCAGGACACCTTAACGCACAAAATAATCTTGCTCACTGTTATCAATATGGGGTTGGGACCATTAAAAATGCACAAAAAGCATTCGAATGGTACTTGAAAGCAGCTGAATCGGGACACCTTAACGCACAATATAATCTTGCTTTCTGTTATCAAAATGGAGTTGGGACAATTAAAAATGTACAAAAAGCATTCGAATGGTACTTGGACGCAGCAGAATCAGGACACCTTAACGCGCAATATAATCTTGCTCTCTGTTACAAATATGGAGAAGGTACTATCAAAGATGAAGAAAAAGCATTCGAATGGTATTTGGAAGCAGCCGAGGCAGGACACCTTAACGCACAATATAATCTTGCTCTCTGTTACAAAAATGGAGAAGGAACTATCAAAGATGAACAAAAAGCGTTCGAGTGGTACTTGAAAGCAGCAGAATCAGGACACCTTAACGCACAATATAATCTTGCCCTCTGTTACAAAAATGGAGAAGGAACTATCAAAGATGAGCAAAAAGCATTCGAATGGTATTTGAAAGCAGCCGAGTCAGGACATCTTAACGCACAATATAATCTTGCTCTATGTTATGAAAATGAAGAAGGAACTATCAAAGATGGACATAAAGCATTCGCATGGTACTTGAACGCAGCAGAATCAGGACACCTTAACGCACAAAATAATCTTGCTTTTTGCTATCAAAATGGGGTTGGGACAATTAAAAATGAACAAAATGCATTCGAATGGTACTTGAAAGCAGCAGAGTCAGGACTTCTTAACGCACAATATAATCTTGCTTTCTGTTATCAAAATGGAGTTGGGACAATTAAAAATAAACAAAAAGCATTCGAGTGGTACTTGAAAGCAGCAGAGTCAGGACAGCTTCACGCACGATATAATCTTGCACTCTGTTATCAAAATGGAGAAGGAACTAACAAAGATGGACAAAAAGCATTCGAATGGTACTTGAAAGCAGCAGAGGCAGGACACCTTAACGCACAATATAATCTTGCTCTCTGTTATAAGAATGGAGAAGGAATTGTCAAAGATGATCAAAAAGC